TCTTCTTTTCCCCCCCCTCTCCCTCCCCCCCCGCCCGGGGGGGGGGGGGGGGGGGGGGGGGGAGTGAGCGAGCGGCTGTGTGGTACTCAGTTGCTGACTGAAGTTAAACCACAACAGTTGCGCTCAGAGTTATTTCTAGGGATGCCCTGGCCACCTTCTCTGGTCAGCCTTTTGTCCTTCTTATGCCTCTGGGTACCCCTATTTCCACTGTTTACCAGGTCTCCATTATTTCCCATTGAAAAGCATTTAAGGTAATTTTACAGAGGAGGTTCTGTGGAACATGAACACCACCAGAAAGAGGATATGGCTGCCTAAGAAAGGAAACATTAGTCTGTAGGGTTCCAGCCTCAGGAGCTGCAGTAGTGAGAAGGTTTGCAGAGAGGGAGATGCATGGCTGTGAGAAGAGAGAACGGGTCTCATGGTAATGAGACCTAATGCTGCAGCCCTGCAGAAATCAATTCTGCTTTTACAGGGTTCCTAAGTGGTATCCAGTAAGTGGCTCTTATCAACAAATTCGAGAGCTATAGGGGGTACAAAGCAGAGACCCATGGATGGCTATGCTCAAGATCAGCCTTGGTCTATCCAGCTCTGAATTAAAGGATTTTGTCTGTGCTTAGACTGGCTTTTGCAAACTGACTGGGGTGCCTTAAGCCTGTTTACCTCAGCTCTATACTTTCGAGATTTCCCCCCCCACACTTTCCAGATATTGGAGAGTGAACTATATTCTGGGGCAGGAAGGGAGAATTAAAAAAAACCCACCAAAACAAAACCCCCACCCAACCAAAACCAAACCAACCCAAAATGCAAGAAACCCCAATGAAGAACAAATAGAGTGGGAATTTCAAACTGCACACTAAATTAAGCAAACACTTCTGAAGCTTATTTCTGCATCACAGTTCCTCTTGCATGAATGCCATTGGCTTCCCTTCCATGGACCCTCTGATTACTGAAGTTTGTGAAGCACTCAGACAAAGTATATGTGTGACAAACAGGTTCTGACTAATTCTGCCTCAAGAACAGGCCCTTGGATAATATGCCTTTAAGTACCACAGACAGTTTAGCAAATGAATACTTAACTATTGAGTAGCTGGTAATTCAAAGAGAAATGCACATGCAGTGTCTTGACTACTGTAGGCTTCTTATAGGATAAGTGTGCTTTATTTTTATCGCTAAAGACTCAGCAGGTATGTGTATGTACACAGATCCTCAGTTGAATTCTACAGGGTTAATTTTAGCCTAACATCTGGGTATACGTTAAACACAGGGAGTGAAGAAGACGGACCCAGACTCTTCTCAGATGGTTCCCAGAGGCAGGACAAGAGGCAGTGGACACAAACAGAAGTACTTAAAGAACAGGAAGAACTTCTTTGCTGTAAGGGTGGTCAACTACTGGAACAGGTTGCCCAGAGAAGTTGTGGAGTCTCCACCCTTGGAAGTACTCAAAATCCATTTGGGCATGATCCTGAGCGACCGGCTCTAGGTGACCCTGCTTTGAGCAGAGGGTTGGACTAAAAGTCTCCACAGGTGCCTTCCACCCTCAGTAATTCTGTGATTGTATCATACAGTGTTATTCTGCATAAGCAGACTACCATTCATGGAAAATGTTATCTTCTAGCTAACTGTTCTGGTTATTTGTTAGTCAAGATGAACAAATGTTTGTTTCTTCCTTCTTTACTAGATACTATCTTTCAAATCAACAAGAATGATTTTGGAACACAGAAGTATGAACACCGGATAGTTGCCACTCAGAAGAAATAGACTGTTGCAACTGGCAGATAAGGAGAAAGAGAGCAGCATTTGTAGAGACCTTTTCATTTGCACTGAACACCTTTGGGTAAGTGCATATCCTCTTTCCTTCCGTACAGAGGTGCAGCCATCCTGTTCCTTCTGATACAGGTATGTTCACCTAGGAGCAGGTTTTGAACCTAATCATTTTATCTGACACAGGCTAAAGGATAGCGTGTAAAAGTTGTGTCTTAAGATACTCACTAAGAACACTATAGTGCAGAGGAGACTTTGTAATGCTTGTGTAGCGAAGCAAATGGAAGAACAACACAAGTTTATAATACTGTCCTGGTTTCGGCAGGGACAGAGTTAATTTCCTTCCTAGCAGCTGGTACAGTGCTGTGTTTTGGATTTAGGATGAGAACAATGTTGATAACACATGGATGTTTTAGCAGAACATTAAGCAGAACAGTAAGCAGAACATGCTTAGCTGTTGCTAAGCAGTGCTGACACCAGTCAAGGACTTTTCAGCTTCCCATGCTCTACCGACTGAGAAGGCTGGGGGTGCACAAGAAGCCGGGAGGGGGCACAGCCAGGACAGCTGACCCAAACTGGCCAAAGGGATATTCCATACCATGTGATGTCATGCTCCGTACATAAACTGGGAGAAAGCTGGCTGGGGGGGCCGCTGCTCAGGGACTGGCTGGGCATCACTTTCTTTGTATGTTCTTTTTCTTCTTCTTATATTATTATTATATAATAATATAAGACCTCCTGTTTACAAACAGAGAAGGACTGGTGGGAGATGTGGTGGTCAGAGGTCGTCTTGGGCTTAGCGACCATGAAATGGTAGAATTCTCGATTCTTGGTGAAGTAAGGAGGGGGGCCAGCAAAACCGCAATTATATATATAAAATATATAAAATATATAATATAATATATAATATATTATCATATAAAATTATATATTATTGTATGTAAATATATAAAAACCTGGGGAGGTTTACACGGCACCGGGCCTGCTTGCGACAGATGAGTCCAGCTGTCTCACGGGGGGAAAAGGATCATTGCTCATGAATTGGCAGGACTCATTGAGAGGGCTTTAAACTAGGTTCAAAGGGGGAAGGGGATAAAACCAGGCTCACTAGAGATGAGCCTAGGGGTGGCAT